GACCCTGCAAGAAGCGAGGCCATCGCTCTATCGACCAGTCGTAATAGCTGGACGCCACATATCACGGTCGCACGACAATTTCTTTCAACCCTCCAGAGACTCACCTCACACCAGGATTTTCTTCAACTGTCTGACTGTATAACTCTCCTCGTTGCCACTCTGTAGATCCCAGTCATTACAACGACGGTGCCTCCCGCCCAATTCCAGCAGCCAGTCACACAAAGCATGCCAGAGCACACACACTAGATGGTGAAGGAACGACGACGTTTCGGTCCGTCCTGGACCATTCTCAAGTCGATTGTGAGACCGTCCTGGTCCGTTTTCAAGTCACAATCGACTTGAGAATGGTCCAGGACGGACTGAAACGTCGTCGTCCCTTCACCTTCTAGTGTGTGGTCTGGTCAACATACTTTAACCATGTTATTGTGACTCATCGCCTGCACAAGCATACCAGAGCCCCACCGTTGTTAGCCCACAACAAACAGCCATTAAAACTAAATGGTTTATATCACTCGAAGAAACTTTCACACTTGAAATCTCATACACAAACACGAAGATAGACTCCCGTACACACACACACACTCTCCTCACTCGCACTTCAAATCTCAACACAATATACATTTTCCTGTTAACAAAGATAAACAATCTATTATTATCACACACAATCACCAGAAGCCAATAGATCTCATGAAAATGGCCGGCTAATGCTTCATAATTATCATTATCAGTAATCACCCTCCTTATCGTTATGATTAACTAACCTGATCCCACGGGAGTGTACCTTACACCCTGCTCTTCATAACTGGGCCAAATGAATCAACGAACTCGTTCGCTGATTACTACAGCGACGCAAAATAACATTATTAGTTTAGTTTAAATCTCTCGTTGCTAATCTCCTCGTTTGTTAACTGCGTATCGATACCTATTTACCTTACTAGCTAAACTATTAAGATAAATAGTCCCATGCCCCATCAGCACTATTTTAAGCACCTATCTTGAGTATCTTAAGTACCGTGAACTTAATTTAAGTACGGTGATCTTAAGTACGGAGAAGAACTTATTGTTGTGAATATGATAACATCCCGATCATTGTTATCATCCTCTCAATGTGGTCAGTAATCACGTGATAACATACCAGGGAACGCCATGAACGGATTAAACTGGAACTAATACAACTTGAACTGGTAGAACTAGAAACTAATACAACTTGAACTGGTAGAACTAGAAACTAATACAACTTGAACTGGTAGAACTAGAAACTAATACAACATGAACTGGTAGAACTAGAAACTAATACAACATGAACTGGTAGAACTAGAAACTAATACAACATGAACTGGTAGAACTAGAAACTAATACAACTTGAACTGGTAGAACTAGAAACTAATACAACTTGAACTGGTAGAACTAGAAACTAATACAACATGAACTGGTAGAACTAGAAACTAATATAACTTGAACTGGTAGAACTAGAAACTAATACAACTTGAACTGGTAGAACTAGAAACTAATACAACATGAACTGGTAGAACTAGAAACTAATACAACATGAACTGGTAGAACTAGAAACTAATACAACTTGAACTGGTAGAACTAGAAACTAATACAACTTGAACTGGTAGAACTAGAAACTAATACAACATGAACTGGTAGAACTAGAAACTAATATAACTTGAACTGGTAGAACTAGAAACTAATACAACTTGAACTGGTAGAACTAGAAACTAATACAACATGAACTGGTAGAACTAGAAACTAATACAACATGAACTGGTAGAACTAGAAACTAATACAACATGAACTGGTAGAACTAGAAACTAATACAACTTGAACTGGTAGAACTAGAAACTAATACAACTTGAACTGGTAGAACTAGAAACTAATACAACTTGAACTGGTAGAACTAGAAACTAATACAACATGAACTGGTAGAACTAGAAACTAATAAAACTAGGAAATTGGGAATTTTCAGATAGAAAATACCGGTATAGAAAAGTGATTAAAAAGCCTCCGATAAATGCAACAAGCCGGGAAGAATTCTCTGATAAGCAAGATTAAAAATATCAAAGTCATTTGCATATTAAGTAAATTTTTCATGGCTGCATAAAAGTCACTTAAGCACGACAAAAATCTGATTAAAAAGAGGACATTTTGCACACGCTTGAAAACTCTCTTTACTCTAAATAAAACAGCAGAATAACTTTTACGTGCAAACTGAGGTCGGTGATATATATATTATCAAAATACATATTGGGATTCTACATATCGTTATTTACATATTAATCCGTAAAATACATATGTACAGATGATTCGCAACATCTGTTAATAGCTTCATACATATTAAGGAGAATATTAAATAAATTATCATATTTTTGAGAATTATTTAGCACCTCAGACTATTATCCAAGAACTATTTGAAGGATTTACATATGTGTGAAATTTACGCGAGCCATATATGTGAAGAATTTACGTGACGCATTTATTTAATGGATTTATATATAGGAGATTTTTGCAAGGTATTCGTTAAGTACACTTAATACTGTTAATTAACTGAGAGTACTGGGCGGAATGGTGCATTTTGCTGCAATAAGGATTAAATTACGTTACTCACCTGAGTCGTTATAGCACTATAGCTTCTTCAGCGTCTGAGTAATAATGAAATGGATTGAGCTTTTGAAGTGACGTGGGAGGAGTCAGACTCTGTCAGCTAGTCGATTGTGTGTTGGATGCGGGGACCCATGAGCTAAAGCACAGCTTTCGTCAGCACACACACACACACACACACACACACACACACACACACACACACACACACACACACACACACACACACACACACACACACACACACACACACACACACACACTATACACACACACACACACACACACACACACTATACACACTATACACATCACAATATACAGCCAGCAACTTCATAGATCCTACATAAGAGCTTCCAGTCACTACCGTCTTGTAGAAGCGGACTGAGTTCCTACATAAATCTCACTTGTCCCTCGTAACGAAGGAATATTTGTGATTGAATAGATTCGCCAAATTGGAATTTTCACCTCACAATGTGATCGTTAGGCGGAGGAGGAGAAACAGAAGACGGAGGATAATGGAGACAAAAAAGCAAGAGAGTGAGAGGAGAGAGAAAGACGAAAGAGACATAAACACATAAATCAAGAAAATGAGGACAAGGAAAAAGGAGATAAGACAAATTAGTGGAAGCTGATTCCATACACAGTTTCAAATGTGGATGTGATAGAGCTCGAGAAGCTCAGGAATCTGTACACCAATAGATTGACGATTGAGAGGAGGGACCAAAGAACCAAAGCTCAATCCCCGCAAACACAACTAGGTGAGTACAACTAGGTAAGTACACACACCAAGTACATGTGAAATTTATTACCATGAAAAAAATAGAAACTGGTGGATGATTAATACTCTCCATTAGTGAAAAAATGCCCCCCATGCTTTAGCAATGATTGAAAGCCAACATAAAAAAGAAACCGCGCATCGAAGAAATAGAAAAAACACAGAACACAGGAGAATCGCAACATATATGCAAGACTGAGGAATGAATATAAATAAATTCGTAGAGCAACAGAAAACTAGTATGAGAACAACATAACCCCCAAGGCCAAGGCTCAGCCTAAACTACAAAACACACTGCTGCATGATTGTTATGTCGTCGGAAAGTAATCTTTTGATTAGGTTACAGATTTTGTCATGCCCACTTAAGATACCATTAGTACAAAACATGAATTGTTTGAAGTGGAATAGTTTACACAGTTGCCCATTCCTTCCAGAGAAGCTATAGCTTCTGCCATATTGGGAAGACGGGTTGAGGAAGGGGTACACGTCTTAGGAAATACACACACACACACGCTAGCCTCCTTTAGCAGGGCGCAACCACTGAGAACAGAGATCCCAGCAGACACCAGGAGCTGGATTCAAGAAACAGTTACGCAAGCACTTGCGATCCTGTACATCGTTTCTCAATCGGCTTTATTTACAATTATTAAACAGTTAATGAGCTCCGAAGCACCAGGAGGCTGTTTATAACAATAACAACAGTTGATAGGCAAGTTTTCATGCTTGTAAACTGTTTAATAAACGTAACCAAAGCCGTCAAAGATTGAGGAAAGATGTAGACGTTCGTAAGTACTTGCGTAACTGCTTCGTGAATCTGGCCCCAGGACCAGCAGACAAGGGGTTCCGCAGACTGCAGGCCACCACAACGCACCTAATAATGACTTCCCCCCCACCCCACCTTTGGCAGCAGACAGGTACAGACATCAGGCGTCTCTAGTCATGCTAAGATCGTACCCAGGATACCACTCTCACGCACTATCCACGTCTCCCTCGATCACTGTTTGTTCGACTGCCAAACTGTCAACTTCTCTGCCTGTCTATTTGGTTCTTATCACACCGTCAAACTATGTGGCTGTCAGCTTGTCCGTGTGTTTGGTTCTGATCAAACTACCTGTCGTTTGACTGGTTCTCTTTTGTACCATTGTCTGTCTAACTGTATAGTTTGCTGTCTCTTCTTGCCTTTTTTCCTATCTATTATTATTATTTCTTTCATTTGTTTCCTGTCTAATTGCCCGTCCATTATAGTCTGACTCATTTACTATTTACCTGTGTTTACAAGTCTACCCGTTTACTGTCAATTGATACATATGCTTGCATGACGGCTGTCCTCAAAACAAACATCTGCTTGTCTGCCACCAGCAAGACTGTCTGTCTATCTGCCATCAAGGCAAACTGCTGCTTGTCTGCTGTTATCAGGGTAAACTGCTGCATGTCTGCTGTTATCAGGGTAAACTGCTGCTTGTCTGCTGTTATATGGGTAAACTGCTGCTTGTCTGATGTTATCAGGGTAAACTGCTGCTTGTCTGCTGTTATCAGGGTAAACTGCTGCATGTCTGCTGTTATCAGGGTAAACTGCTGCTTGTCTGCTGTTATATGGGTAAACTGCTGCTGTCTGCTGTTATATGGATAAACTGCTGCTGTCTGCTGTTATCAGGGTAAACTGCTGCTTGTCTGCTGTTATCAGGGTAAACTGCTGCATGTCTGCTGTTATCAGGGTAAACTGCTGCTTGTCTGCTGTTATATGGGTAAACTGCTGCTTGTCTGCTGTTATATGGGTAAACTGCTGCTTGTCTGCTGTTATCAGGGTAAACTGCTGCTTGTCTGCTGTTATCAGGGTAAACTGCTGCATGTCTGCTGTTATCAGGGTAAACTGCTGCATGTCTGCTGTTATCAGGGTAAACTGCTGCTTGTCTGCTGTTATCAGTGTAAACTGCTGCCTATTCTCTATCAATGATCTTCCGTGTAGCTTTTCCCCTAATCAATAGATTTAATTATACACAAGGAAATCACACTAACGTGATAAAGTAATGAGAAAATCGTATGGAGCAATGAAGGGATTCGAACCCTGAACTTGGGTATTCCCAACCCAGCCATCTTACTTCTGGACTTCATTGCTTCCAATTATTTTCTAATCGATTAAGTGCAAATCTTTTCTTTGTTACACGAGTCGTATATATAGCTCTTTTACCCATAAGCTTACATACAACTCTTTAGTGTTACCCATAAGCTTACATACAACTCTTTAGTGTTACCCATAAGCTTACATACAACTCTTTAGTGTTACCCATAAGCTTACATACAACTCTTAGTGTTACCCATAAGCTTACATACAACTCTTTAGTGTTACCCATAAGCTTACATACAACTCTTTAGTGTTACCCATAAGCTTACATACAACTCTTTAGTGTTACCCATAAGCTTACATACAACTCTTTAGTGTTACCCATAAGCTTACATACAACTCTTTAGTGTTACCCATAAGCTTACATACAACTCTTTAGTGTTACCCATAAGCTTACATACAACTCTTTAGTGTTACCCATAAGCTTACATACAACTCTTTAGTGTTACCCATAAGCTTACATACAACTCTTTAGTGTTACCCATAAGCTTACATACAACTCTTTAGTGTTACCCATAAGCTTACATACAACTCTTTAGCGTTACCCATAAGCTTACATACAACTCTTTAGTGTCTATAAGACGAGCCTTCATAGTCCCTTAAATAAATATGAATTTGTTGTCACATATTTATGTCCATTTACTGGACTCTACGGAAGAGCGAACTCGCTGCATACAAGACTAAGTTCGATTCCCGATGGAGATGGGCATTGTGCCTTCCCTTCGTCCTTCAAAACCTCTTCCTCCTCATATCCCTTCTATGTGCTATGAGGGAAAAATCGCTAAGATTTTGTCCTCATAATTACCATACATGTATATAAATCTCTGGATCTATATAGCTGTTATGTTGGCCACTATTCACAGCATACAGAATATGTGTCGATATTGACCCTGTAAGTACAGAAGAACGTTGTATTGATACACTTAATCCACCAAATAGCCACCTGATACCTGCTGTGTATATAGTGATTTATAAACATAGTTTCGTGCTTGGGGTGGACGTTATGGTGTTGTATCAGGCGTCCCTGTTAGTGCCCGAGCCGTTATGGTGTTGTATCAGGCGTCCCTGTTAGTGCCCGAGCCGTTATGGTGTTGTATCAGGCGTCCCTGTTAGTGCCCGAGCCGTTATGGTGTTGTATCAGGCGTCCCTGTTAGTGCCCGAGCCGTTATGGTGTTGTATCAGGCGTCCCTGTTAGTGTCCGAGCCGTTATGGTGTTGTATTAGGCGTCCCTGTTAGTGTCCGAGCCGTTATGGTGTTGTATTAGGCGTCCCTGTTAGTGCCCGAGCCGTTATGGTGTTGTATCAGGCGTCCCTGTTAGTGTCTGAGCCGTTATGGTGTTGTATTAGGCGTCCCTGTTAGTGTCCGAGCCGTTATGGTGTTGTATCAGGCGTCCCTCTTAGTGTCCGAGCCGTTATGCTGTTGTATCAGGCGTCCCTGTTAGTGTCCGAGCCGTTATGCTGTTGTATCAGGCGTCATCTGTTAGTGCCCGAGCCGTTATGCTGTTGTATCAGGCGTCATCTGTTAGTGCCCGAGCCGTTACACTGTACTCAGCTGACGAAGAACCCGACAGAAGACCTTACCTCACCGTCTTATAATAAATCTAGCTGCCCCAACTACTCAATTGACAGTATCCTCGGTAAATTGTAGATGCCATTTCTTTTAGATTTGAAAAGTTGTCGTGTTTACGTCTGCTTTCATGTGGCACCACTCTCCTATCAGGATATATTAGTAGCTATAGGCACCAGCAGGGGGGAAAATAATGAAATGTCAACACTTCATGGAAAATTTGATAACGAATACCGCCCCCCCCCCCACTCACGTTTCTAATTATATATGAAGGGGGTTTATTCACAGGCAATATACGTTATAGAAACGTTCAATGGCTGTTACGGGAATTGCTCGATACATATAAAATACACGAACAAGTATAGCTATTGCCAAAACAGTTTTCAAAATAAAAAGTATGGTGGTTTGTTTATCAAAAATGGTACTCGTGGACGTTTCTGTTTTAGCAAAATGAAAGGCATTGGGGGTTTCCTATTTACAAAATATGAAAAGCTTTGAGGGTTCCCTATTTACAAAATATGAAAGCCATTGGGGGTTTCCTATTTACAAAACATGAAAGCTACTGGGACTTCCTAGTTTACAATGTATGAAAACATCTGGGAGTTCCTGGTTAGAAAAAACAAGAACAAATTAATACCGTAGGGGATGTTCTTGAAAATATTTGAGAACTAGACAAGGAGTATCTTGAGAATCCTTCCCGTTAGAGAGGCAGACTGTCGAATATATTATATACCCTCCTCCCACACCACCAAAGTGCTGGTGGAGCGCAGTGGAAACTCTAATTCTCCACCAAAGTGCTGGTGGAGCCCAGTGGAAACTCTAATTCTCCACCAAGGTGCTGGTGGAGCGCAGTGGAAACTAATTCTCCACCAAAGTGCTGGTGGAGCCCAGTGGAAACTCTAATTCTCCACCAAAGTGCTGGTGGAGCCCAGTGGAAACTCTAATTCTCCACCAAGGTGCTGGTGGAGCCCAGTGGAAACTCTAATTCTCCAACAAGGTGCTGGTGGAGCCCAGTGGAAACTCTAATTCTCCACCAAGGTGCTAGTGGAGCCCAGTGGAAACTCTAATTCTCCACCAAAGTGCTGGTGGAGCCCAGTGGAAACTCTAAATTCTCCGTGTGGGGTGGAGCCAACGCATCGATCACGGCCTCGTCCGCAACCGTGACCAACGGAACACAACTCGGGCTTCGGACTACCACACCCACCTAATCCACCCCTTCCCATCCCTCCCACCACAGTCTGTTTTACTCATTTATGACAAACGCCTTTGTAGAAAATTGGCAGTTTATATTTATTGGATAATTAGGGGTCATGATTCGACGAGAAATCCGCCAAAGACAGGTTTAAACCAGGGGATCCGGAGAGATGGGGTGAGATATTACACATGTGTAAACGTGTTTGGGGTGGGGCGCGGGGCTGCCTCTTTCGTGACTACCTTAATGACACACCTGACACCCAATGACACACCTGACATCCTATGACACATTTGACATCCATTGACACCCATGACATCTAACTTGACAAGTAATGAGACACACACATGACATTCTAATGAAACATCTGACACCATAATCATACATCTGACATCATGTTGACACGTTTTAGACCCAAATGACACACCCGACACTTTTCGTGACATCACTTGACACTTAACTTGACAGGGATGACACCCTAATGACTGCTGACAGTACTGGTCAAATGGCCTCCCTGGGAGGCCATTTGGTCTCTGGTCAATAATACTCATTATGGCCATTTGGATTCTTATGGAGTTCAATGTTATCAACATTAACGTGTTCTAAGTCTTATTATGTAAACAGTTCTGTCAGTCTGTTCGTCTCTGTCTCCCTCTGTTTCTCTGTCTCTGTCTGTCTGTCTGTCTCTCTCTCTCTCTCTCTCTCTCTCTCTCTCTCTCTCTCTCTCTCTCTCTCTCTCTCTCTCTCTCTCTCTCTCTCTCTCTCTCTCTCTCTCTCTCTCTCATCCTGTCGCTTGTCTTATCTTAAATTAGCTTATTTCCTAAATTTGTAACATTTCTTATCACTTTAATTTTATCAAACTTTTTGCCTGAACTTAAAACTTCATATTCTCGGTTTTTCTTGACTTTGGTTTTATCTGCTTTCTTCGTTTACCTTAAATTTATTTCGTTTCTTCGTTTCCTTTTCTTTTTAATTTTCTTCTATTTACATATTTCCTTCATTAGGTCTGACCTTTTTTTTTTTTTTTTACTTTTTTTTTTGTTTTGTTACTCTTCTGATTATTTGATTCTTTTCCGCCAAATTCTTCTTCTATATCACTTACTTCCTTCTTCTCTTTGGACTTCCACCAGAACCTCCTTCTCTTACACGTCCCACCTCGTAAGACATCTCAAGTCCTACACTTCCGCTCTGGGAATTGGTCAGCGCATCGCCCAAAGTCCAACTGGACTCGAGGAAAATATGTAAAGCGTCCTAGGGGGGAAATGTAAATTGAAATTGGTCATGTAATCTACCATCACACCGAATGTACATTTTTTTTTGCTCTTCATAACTGAGTTAAAATTACGGTGTTCAAGGACTAATGAGACACAGTGTAGCGGGTGTCGTCTGAGACACAGTGAAGTGAGTGTCGTCTGAGACACAGTGAAGCGAGTGTCGTCTGAGACACAGTGTAGCGGGTGTCGTCTGAGACACAGTGTAGCGAGTGTCGTCTGAGACACAGTGTAGTGAGTGTCGCCTGAGACACATGACACTGGACAAAAGGGCATATAAACAGAAACGTGAAGAACAAGCAGAGGTCAAAATAATCAACAATAAAGAGACAGAAGAGACGGATAAAGCAGAGAGACGAAGTAAAAGAATGAACAGATGAAGAAAATGAGAGGCTAGATGAAGATAAAAAGAAAGAAGGGATGAAGATCAAGAGAAAAAGAAGGAAGATAGAGAAGGAAGAAATGAAGGCATTGGAAGAAGTAGTCACCCCTCAGCATCCTGGCCAAGAGAGGCGAGAAGGTTGAATTCCCAGCTAAATATTTAATGAGAAGCGCCTCTAGAGTTTCTTCCTCAGTCTCCCCTCTCTCTCCTATCTGTGTGTGTGTGTGTATGTGTGTGTGTTTGTGTGTGTGTGCGAACTCACCTAGTTGTACTCACCTAGTTGTGTTTGCGGGGGTTGAGCCCTGGCTCTTTGGTCCCGCCTCTCAACCGTCAATCAACAGGTGTACAGATTCCTGAGCCTATCGGGCTCTATCATATCTACACTTGAAACTGTGTATGGAGTCAGCCTCCACCACATCACTTCCTAATGCATTCCATTTG